CGTTTCGGATCAAGGCCTTAATAAAAAACCAAGCAGTTATAATTAGCTAAAGTGAATCAAGTCACATAATGAGCACCTCCTTGACGTCATTACTTATGCGGGCGTCATATTCCCAAGGCAAACGGTGATTTATAAGCTCAGAGTACCTCCGACATGCGATAGACGTGAGCACTGTTTTTTAGGCGACTCGAGACCAAATTGTCAAGGAGACTGGAAACCCAACAAATGTGGACTACATCGCTGCTGATCTGTCCGTCATGAAAGAGGTTTCATATTTTTATAGCTTTTTTTGTAGCAGTTATAGCTTTATTTCAATAGTTTTTGAATTTTTCGAATTTTCATCCGCAATCCTGCCTTATTTGCTTTTTCGGCTCAAGTTTATGTGGAGGTGGGATCAATTTCTTCCCACGCCTTCATCGTCCGTTCAATGCCACGTTAAATCGCTATGCTTGCCAGCAGCCCAGCGTAGTGGGTGGTCTCCCGCTGTCACTAGTGCTCCCAAAAGACCAATTTCAGTGCAAGCCACTAGATTTCTTTTTTATCGCCCGCAGAAGAAACCTCCATGGCAGCGCTGACGCAAAATGTGACGTATGGAGTTACAAAGCACGAATAGAGTGAATCACTGGTTTCATTCATCCTCAAGAGACGTTTATAATCGCCATTCGAATTCCTGGGTCATGCTTACGATGAGAATGCAGCCCACTGGAAGTCAAGGAAAGGTGCTCGTCGATGCTCGGAAAAAGAAAAAAATCAAGAAAAACCGTTCAGAACCCGAGAAATGGGATCCCTTTTTGCCCGTGATTTGCAAGTTTCACCAGTCTCATCGATGCCGCTCTATTCAACGCTAACGCTCACTCTGTTAAACAGCTAGAGCCAGGTAGCGGGAGGTGGGCGTGCCGCGGCGATAGCGGCACGAAGCGCTCATGCTTGATCGCCTGGGACATACTACATACGTCCTTCGCTGCGAATTGCGTGTCGGTGTGCACCATTAGAAGGTCCGCCTGCATTTTCACGAGGACGATCCTCTTTTTCGACCCTCGACCTTGTGGTGGAATCCTCCTTGAAACTCGAAGAAACTGAACTATCTCGGTTCAGAGCGGAGCGTCATGTGCTTCATTCATAAGAGTGCTCTCAAAAAAAGTTTTCTTGC